CAAGAGCTTAAATGGAACAAATATCAGCCGAAGCTTTATCACTCGCACCATGGAGCTTGTTGCTATCGAAATGCAGGGTTGTTTTGCCAATGATCCAATCGGCCAACGCCCCGTTATCAGAGACCGATAGTTTGTAGATCAACTCAGAGTCTCAACCAACATGGAATCCTGGGGAGGACGCGGGGAACGAAGTCCGCAACGACATCAAGTTTCCTATCATGCTTTTCATCTTTAAATCCACACCATGGAGATCAACTTGAACGGCCAGACCAAAAAGAGTAGTAGGAACAGTCATCCTTGCGACTTTTGCCGTTACAAGCGCGCCGCTTGCTTGGTGCACGAAGACACGCCACCATGTGAGCTCTGCCGACGATTAGGCAAAGAGTGCACCTTTGTTGGGGGCCCTAACAAGAGGAGACGGTTATCCGAACGACGGCAAAGCGGTTCGAGCGATGGCATACAGAGCCCCCGTCATCAACAGGATCGAGCTGCCCTCGGAGCAGAGGAGAGGTTCCCATCTGCGGAAGTCTCGCCCATTGCTGATTCCATCTTCGTTAGAGGGCTGATGGACTCTGCCAGCCCGATATCACCACACACAACGTCTTCACCAGATGTTTCAAGTCGAGAGAATGTCTTTGTACCATCGTCGCTGGATGCGGAGCCCGATCACAATGCTCAGGTAATTGGTCCCAGCGGTGAATCGGACCCGTACCTGTTGAACCTGTATCACTTCGATGAGAGAGACGAATGCACATTTCAGCAACTCCGCATCAGGAATATGGGGCCTGAAGATGGGGTTCCCATCCAGTTCATGCTACAGCGCAATTCACAAGCTAGTAAAGCGCAACCAGGCGGGCTGGGAGCTACCGCGGCCGACCTTAGATGTGAAGTCTCAGACTTGGTCTCTGAGAATGTTGGCCAAAGGCTCATCACCCTGTAAGGAAGTGACCAAACCCTTTCATACTCACTCCGATTTACCTAAATTTAGAACGAGGTCTCATCTGACCGGTTGCAGGTTCTGGAAATACGTTCAACCTTACTTCCCGGTCGTATCCAAAGAACACACAATCCAAAATCTCAACGGCAGCCCCTCCGCAATGTCAACATGTCTCCTCGCCGCAATCTACGGCCATGCTCTCCCTTTCTGCGTCTTTGATGACGTTCTTTGCGTAGATGTCGACACCCTCCCCTCAGCAGATCACCTGTTCAAACTAGCTTGGATGTCCGCCCTCTCCGAGTTCCATACCCCGTCCCTCGCCACCGTACAAACGATGCTTCTCATGATCCAACGACGGCCAACGAATAAACACGTTGCCGACACCCCGTTCAAGTGGACCATGCTCGCGGACACTGTAGCACTTGCTCAGTGTCTAGGGCTCAACCTGGACCCGTCAGATTGGACGATTCCAAACTGGGAGAAGAGACTGCGAAGGAGGCTTGCTTGGGCGGTGTATGTGCAGGATAGGTGGTTGAGTCTCAACTTTGGAAGGAGTTCGCACATTCAGGAGTGCGATTGGGATGTCTCACAGCTTGGGCCGGAAGATTTTGGTGATGCTCCCGGTTGTGAGGGTGAAGGGCCCTTGGTGTGCAAGCATTTTCTGCACTTGGCCTCTCTGACTGAGATCGTCTCCAAGATTCAACAAAACATGTTGTGAGTTGCTTCCATACACTGCGATACTACTCTGGTATTGATGCTCACTGACCATCATAGCTCCATCAAAGCCACTAGAGCTCTCTCCAAGTCCCTCGAAGCAACTTTCGAAGTTGCTCGGCCCCTGAGGATCGAACTTGCAGAGTGGTTGCAAACCCGACCCGACGTGGGAGAACAGCCCTCGGCATCTTTGCCAGAATGCGGCCTTGACGGAAACGGCAGTCTGAAACTCGCCTACATCACTGCAAAGATTGCCGTCTTCAAGGCCCTCCTTCGACCGAAAAGCATCGAAGTCCCGACCGAGGCCCGCACGGCGTTGCGCACCGGCTCAATGACTATTGCGCGAGAGATGCACGACTTTCTCGCGAAACTAGAAGCTCATCATCTCGAAGCTTTCTGGCATTCATGTAAGCGTCGCCCCAGCCTCCTCAGAGGAATTGTGCTTTCCCCGGAAATATTTGCTGGATAGCTGACCACAGTTAGATTCCCGCGTCAACTTTGCCATTGCGAGCAACTTTATCGTCTTGCTCTTCGCTCTTTCTCCGACACTATCGGAAGCTGAAGACGCCCTTGCTCTTTTGATTCAATGGAGAGGCTTACTGCGGATCAAGTCAAGAAGCTGCGACTTATTGAACTTGAGCCTGCTAAGACTTGATGCCATCTTCGTGGCGGGGCTGGGCAAGCTCATTGAATTGACACCCGCAGCAGCCGAGGCAGCTTCGAATCGGGGCTTGTAGCAATTGGCTGTTTTACATGTATGATTCACGTCCAAGCCCGTGAAACACCTCCACGAGAACCAGAGGGAATTGGGCCAGGCCCTTAGCTCAAAGCATGTGGTTCAATCACATTAGAATATAACTTGCCTCCAGCGTCATTGTATGGTAGTATAAGTCTAAGGTTTACCTCATCCCATCTTCACGTCTCGGTCCTTCCCTTCCAAGCCATTCTCTGACCCGACCGAATCCTCCACCGTGGGATATCCGTCAACGTACAACTGCTCCCGGCTATCGTCCACGGGGAATGGCTTGACTTTCCAACTCAACCAATACGTAAAGCTCGCCACCAAGGTACTGACAAGCCAACTCAAGCTGTAGAGGTAGATGGCTCCCTTGGGCACCCCTTTGGCACCACAAGCAGCCGCAAGACCAGGCATGTTGGGGATAATGGCAAGAATGAAGGCGATAACCGCTCGAGGGTTGACGCCGAAGGTGTAGTAGTGTATGCCTCGCGGATCAAAGAGGGATGAGACTGCCATTATACGCTTGCGGCAGATCCAAAAGTCGGTGATGATGATGCCGGCGATGGCGCCCAGGAAGAGAGAGTAGCCGCCAAGGAAAGAGGAGAATGATTTAGCACTGCGAAGGGGATCGAGGTTAGCATAAAATCTCGGCTACAGGACAACACGCACAACTGACCTGTACTGAATGTACCAAGGCACGGCGCAAACGCCAAACACGGCGCAGATATACGCTCCACGCCTATTGTTGATGTACTTTGGAAACCATAGCGCCAAGTCGTTACTGAACGAGACGCTGTTGGCGCTGATATTTGTACCAATCACCGCAAATGCCCAGCAGAGTCCCGCGAAGAACTGAGCAGCGCGGTTCTCCCACAGCCGTGCGACTTCCAGGGGGTTCCAGGTTACCTTGCCATAGATGACCTCAGATGCGCTGCTAACGGTGGCACCTAGTACACCACACATTGTTACAAGTACGCATAGTCCGACGGCTTGTGTCCAGAAGACTTGTCGAGGCTCCTTTGCGTAGCGCGTGAAGTCGGGCATGTTGAGGGCGAGGGTTGCCTTGGGACCAATGGCACTGGTGACGCACTGGAAGAATACGACGATAGCGGGAGTGCCGTCCTTGATGAGGGTTGGCTTCGAGAATGTCGGGCCAAAGCCCTTGCCTGAGAAGAGGTCAGATGAACTGCTGTAGAATCCGTTGAGAGTCGGGATACCTGCCAGCAACGATGGCCCAAATGAACAATGTCAACCCAAAGATTGGCATAATCACCGTCTTGACCATGAACATGTACCTCAAACTGCTCACATGCAACCAGAGCAGTGGCAACTGAATAATGATGAACAAGAAAAAGCACAACAGCTCGGAGCTGGTGACGTGCGCGCTCTCGGCAAGATGGTTTGGGAAGTTATTGAACGATGGCCAGATGGCGGAGATCATGACCTGCAGGCACTGCCCGCCCTGGAACGACTGTGTACCGAACCAGATACAGGCAACGACACCGCGGACGAAGACGGCGCCATAGGAGCCCCGGAGGCCGAAGGAAGCTCTGGTGAAGACGGGGAAGTTGATGCCAAAGATGCAGCCGACGTAGCCATCTAGCATTGCCGGGATGCAGACCAGAACGTGGCCAATGAAGACTGCGAGGATCGCAAGGCCTGGGTTAAGGCCTTTTGTAACCGAGGTTGAAGAGACTGTTATTATTGAGGACGGGTATTAGCAGCCATCTTGGGTTAATTACCAAGTTGTATCGGAGCATGAAACCATGTGCGCACTTACCTTGATACATTGAGATGGAAAATGCTTCGGCGATCCAGAAGCCGAGCAAACTCGGCCAACCCCAGGTGCGCTCCGGAGAGCCCATCGGGATCGGGTCCATGTCCTTGTTCGACAGCCGACCTCCCTCCGTGCCGAGGTCGGCGCTCTCGGAGCGGAGCTCCAAACGCTTCCGTAGACCCATCGTTGCAGCGACCGAAGTGTGTGCAACCACGAGTAGCTCTTGGATTTTGACTACCTGCACGTGGGCTTCACCTTCAGAAGAAAAGGGAAGGTCAGGGCGATCAATGGCACAATTGGAGTTGCTAATTGTGCGTGCGGGGAGCCGGAATAAACGATGTCTAATTACTTTTACGTTGTTGCGCATCCGGTTTCATTTCTAAGACGAGGCTTATCAGATTTCCTTTCAGCTATCCTGCTATCGTCGTTGCCGAGCGCCATGGTCGTGCAATTCCCGGATGCGTGCTACGCCCAGAATGTTGTGATAGGCACGCGATAGGCGCGGGTTGTTATCAGGCCGATTATCGGGGATATCATTGGCTTATCCTTTTTTGATGTTGCGTTACTCTAACAAGGACTACGATAGGCGCTGCATAATCTAATCAGTTGATCAACGTTAGCATAGTTCAAGTTGTAGAGAGATTACTTGACTCGATAAGATTGATTTTGAGTGACGATTCACTACGATGTTGCCATTTGATTCTGCGGTGGTCCGTGGAGAAAGTATGCGACTCATCAGAGATCGATGAATGGCCCCTAATTGATAGCACGAAGTCCAGTCCCGAAGAGTCAAGACAGCATTGAAGACTTCCCTTTGTGCCAGCCTGGACAAAATGGCACCGATTGCGATGTCTGACCTGAAGTCGCCTTCATCAATTGCTGCCGTCGACTCAACCGTTTTCCCGGCGTCAGATGCCGATGAGAGGTTGAAGAAACTATGGCAACTCCACGGACATCCTCATAGCTCAAGGTACCATATACTCTCAAGTGCATCAGTCTTCAAAGACTTAATGGTTCTAATACTGACTGAATTCTCAGATTCTGTGACCCGAATTTGACGAGTGTCGCAGCGTTGGTCGAGCATAATGCTGCAACCCAACCAGTCAAGCCGGCTTTCATACATCCTGTGGGCGACTCATTTGAAGTGCTGGACTGGGCTCAGCTCAATCAGTACTGCCTTACAGCGTCAGGTTTCTACTCTAAGCAGTTTCGAGGGGGCATCGCTACTGCCAATGAAATCGGTCAGCAACCCACTGTCGCTCTCCTAGGTGTCGGGAACTCGATCTCGTATCTCATCACCCAATTCGCCCTAAATCGTCTGCACCTTCGGGTCCTTCTCCTTAGCAACAAGAACTCTCCGGCAACAAGAGATCACCTACTCAAAGTGTGCAACGTTGTTACAATAATCACCGATGAGGCGAGTGAAGCTTCACTCCACGGTGAAAGCCCATGTCAACTCCCGGTGACGAAACTCATCAGCTTAGATGAGTTGAGAGGGAATGGCCTAGAAGTTTATGAAGAACCTGGTATGGGGTTTGAGACTGGTGATGAGTGGAATGTCCAGTCAATGATCATCCACTCATCTGGTTCCACTGGAGTGCCGAAACCAATTATCCACACGAATCGGAGTCTGTGCCAGATAGCGCGGATGTACAGACTACTTCCAGAGTTCTTCATTGAGAACTGGTATCTGTGTTTTCCCTTGTAAGATCTGGAACTTCCCTTCTGTTCTATTTGCGAATGCTCATGCGTCTTAGATTCCACGTAGCTGGGCTGTCAATTGCATTGTCAGGGCTCCCAACCGGTCTACCTACTTCTTTGCCTCCAACACAATGGCCACCAGCTCCAAGTTCAATCCTTTCTGCATGGAAGTCCTTGGCAAGCCTCGGCTATCCGCCCGACTGCCTTCACTGTGCGCCCTCAGTTATCGAGGATCTCTACGAATACATCACTCTCACTACCAAAGATTACACTCCTCTGACGGACTTGAAGGTCCTACAACCCGGAGGAGCTCCGCTGTCCCCTTCATTGCTGTCCAAACTCCAGAAAATCGGCGTCAATGTCAAAACAACATACGGCACAACCGAAACCGGTCCGCCGCTACGGACGATACCGCATACGAGAGACAACCCAGACGTGTACCGCTTCCGCAACCTGTACCCAGAGTCGGAGTATGTACGAATGGAACCTATTGCGGATAACCTTTTCGAGTGCGTTGTTCATCGCGGATTCCCTCTCGCTGCAGAGCTCTGGCTTGAAGAGACTGCGCCGAACCCATATCGTACGGGAGACCTGTTCAATGAGGATCCCCCGGGGAGTGGCTATTTCGTCCTCCAAGGCCGGCGAGATGACATTCTCGTGCACAGCAATGGAGAGAAGACACATGCCGCCGCTCTCGCTATGGCGCTTGAAGAAGATAAAACGGGCATTGTTGCGAAGACTGCAGTCTTTGGTACAGGAAAGCCTTTCCCCTCCGTTGTTGTTGAGATCAACTGGTCTGAGGTGGAGAAGCGGTCCATATCAGAAGCTGATCTTCCTGAAGAGGTGTGGAAAGTGGTTGGGGTCTGCAACAATAATTCCCCGACATACTCACGAATTCCTCGTGAAACGGTTCTCATTCTTCAAGAAGGGAAGACGTTACCAGTTACTCCGAAAGGGAACGTGCGACGGACGATTGCTTGGGAGCTTTATGGAGACAGAGTGGAAGAACTCTACAACTCATTCCTGGGCACCAAGCTTGATGCTGATACAGAAGCCGCGTCAGTTCCTTCTAGGGACCCTGATATTTCGGATCTTCAAACCATCCAAACAGTCGTCGCTGAGGTTTTCCGTGTCCCTGTGGATGGCCTCACGGAAGATCAAAACTGGTACGAACTTGGCCTCGATTCTTTGCGAGCTGTCGATATACGGTCAAGACTTGTGCAGATATTCGGGGCTTTTCCTCTGATGTTCATCTTCGAATATCCTACGGCAAAGAAGCTTCTCGAGTTCCTTCAACTGTTCAAAAGTGGTCTTAATAGCAATGCCCCGGCGGCCAGCAACCACTATGAGTCGATGCGGTCGACCATACACCGCATGAACATCGAGATCGACAACTGGCAAGTGACTCAAGCTCAACAGGAAGATTCGATAAGCGACGAGCAAGTCATATATCTCACAGGAGCCAGTGGTGCTCTGGGAAACGCACTACTGGAAGTCCTGGTCCAGGTGCCAACTGTTCGAAAGATTTACTGCGCCGTACGAGGAGCAGATCCTCAAGCTCGAGTCTTGGGCTCCATAAAAGAGAGAGGCTATCCTACGAGCATTTACCAAAGCGAGAAGATTTTACCCGTCAGCTACGACATGAAGGATGGAAAGCTAGGTGTAGATGAGCAGATGTATCAACGTCTGATGAATGAGGTGACTGATGTGATGCACAACGCCTGGAAACTAGACTTCAATCAACCCATTCAACAGTTCGAAGACGATTGCCTGAGAGGTAAGTTTCATTTGACGCGAACTTGAAGTCGCTGAGCTGACGAATATCTTTTTAGGAACTATGCATCTCATGTCTTTTTGCCTCAAAGGGCTCAAGAAGACGTTCACCTTCATGAGCAGCGTCGCCGCAGCAATGGGAAGCCCCGCCGGCACCAAAGTGCCAGAAATTCCACTTTCTCCGGATCCTGCAAATGCCCTTCCCACCGGATACGCGCAGTCCAAGTTCATCATCGAGCAAGTCACGCAGCACTATGCCTCTACACACAATGTCCCTGTTCGCATCCTCCGAGTTGGCCAGCTTTGTGGTCACTCAAGACTGGGAGCATGGAACAATACCGAGATGTGGCCTACCATGATGATGGTGGGACTAGATCTCCTCAATGCGATGCCGACCTTACAGACTAACGTCGACTGGCTACCTATTGATTTCTGTGCTGAAGCCATCAGTAAGGCGTTGATTCACAACACTCCCGAGACGTCATATGCTGTGTACAACCTTATCAATCCAAGCGCGATCTCATGGGAACAGCTTGTTTCCATGCTGGAAGAGGCTTATGGACAGAACTTCCAACGCGTTGAAATGAAGGAATGGGTGTCTAGGTTAGAAGCAACTGCAGAATCACAGGGCTTGGGTGTGAGGGAACTGCCAGCTCTGAAGCTCCTCGGTTTCTTTCAATCCATGGCTGAAGGCAATGGTAACGGCGAGGGCGTGGGGTTTGATGCGGGAAGCGTAGAGAAAGGAAGACGAATTGAGGTGGACATGCTTAAGAGATGGCTGGAAGTATGGCGTCAAACAGGTCACTTGAGAGAATAGAGCGCCAACTTTTTTAGTATCTTAGTAAAGAATTCGACGACAGAGGCTCAATCTCGGCTTCCGTGATGTGAACTGCAGTGTCGCATTCAACCCGAATAAGAGGAATTCGGCAGTTCAGGACTTGGCATTCTCCGATGCTTTGGCAGGCTCCCGTGATGCTCCCGCGGAATCCACGTGTTCCGTGGGTGGTCGGAATGCTAGGCGGCGTCCGGCACGATGCTTTGAACATCACCAGACGCCATGGTCTTGAACGCGCCGAACTTAATCGCTAGATGCTCTATTCCTTCAGCTTGATTCAACAATGCTTCGCGTTGGATTGGGGTAAGGTCGCAGATATATTACTCGTTAGGCAAACATGCAAGCCCAGGCCCCCAATCGGGAAGCAAACCATTCTTAAGCGAATGTGGCACGCTTGCATGTCAGCATGTGCGATTTATTTAAGACTGTCATGTCTCTCATTCAGCTACCCCGGTGATCCATTTCATGTTGTTTACGCCGGACAACAGCCTCTGCGATGCTCACCTCACGCGCGACCCCCATCACTTTCCGCCACTACTCAGCACACCTCAGAGTTGCTACCATATGCAACCACAAAACACGCTCATTCCACGCCACCTATTCAGTGAAATCCGACCAAAATCATGACATAATCGTCGTCGGGGCCGGCATTGCTGGAGTTTGCACAAGCATCGCAGCCGCGGAAAGCGGCGCCAAAGTCCTTCTCCTAGACGATGCACATGGCGGCGGAGCATCCGCGCTCTCAGGTGGCGTAGTTTACGCCGGCGGAGGAACGCGACAGCAGAAAGAGGCCGGCTACGGCCACGACACCCCGGAGAACATGCTCGCCTATCTTAAGGAGGAAACGGGAGACGCAGTCAATGAGAAGACTCTCCGGCGCTTCTGCGACGAAAGCGTAGCGCGGCTTGAGTGGCTCGAAAAGCACGGCGCACGGTTTGAGGCCTCGCTGTGTCCTTACAAGACCAGCTATCCGACAAATAAGCATTATCTCTACTTCTCGGGGAATGAGAAGTCGCACCCGTTTAATAAACTGTCGAAGCCGGCGCCGAGGGGACACCGGATGGTGCAGCCGGGGTTCTCTGGTTCTGCGCTGTGGCAGGCGCTCTTTGACTCTGCGATACGTCTGGGAGTAGATTTCAAGCCGGCGTCTAAGGTCCAGCAGGTTCTTTTCAATGAAAAAAAGGACAAGGTCAGCGGAGTTGAGATCAAGACGTTGCCTGATACCAACTCGCTGTTCCAAAGGCACAAGGGCCTCACGCAAAAGACAAAAAAGTACCAGCTCATGGCGTCCCAGCTAGCCGACGTCTATCACCAAAAGGCAAACAAAATCTGGCAAGAGCATTCCGCCTCACAGACAATACACGGTGAAGCGATAGTCTTGAGTGCCGGCGGCTTCGCTTTCAACCCCGAGCTGAGACAGAAATACCTCCCCGAATTCTCCAGAGTCGCTCCGCTCGGGACCAATGGTGATGACGGATCTGGAATCAAGATCGGGCAGGCAGCGGGAGGATCAGTATCAAACATGAACAATATGTCTGCGTGGCGGTTCTTGTATCCTCCAACGGCCCTGCTCGAGGGCGTTGTCGTATCTCAGGCTGGAGAGCGCATGGGTGCGGAGGATGTCTATGGGGCTGCACTCAGCGAAACCATGATACGACAACATGGGGGAAAAGGCTTCTTGATTCTCGACTCGGATCAATGGGCGAAAGTAAAGAAACAAGTCTTCCAGCAGACCAACATGCCTCTCTTGATTCAGAGACTGCATTGGCTCTATTGGAGTTACAAGAAAGCTGGCTCTTTAGCAGCGCTCGCCGGCAAATTGAACATCTCAGCCGACGGTCTGGGGTCGACAGTCAAGACCTACAATGACGCGATCGCTAGCGGCAAAGACGATCCGATGCACAAGGAGGCAGACTACTGCAGCCCAGTGTCGAAGGGTCCGTTCTATGGTGTTGATATATCTTGCCGCACTGAGGGAATCCAAGCTGTCAATGGACTGACGCTTGGCGGACTGCGCGTGGACGGCGAGACTGGGCTAGTCCTGGCCGAAGATGGTAGCAAAATCGGTGGGCTGTATGCTGCCGGGCGAAGTGCTGCTGGAGTATGCGCCAACGGGTACGTCAGCGGCCTGTCCCTCGCCGACGGGGTGTTTTCGGGGAAGAGAGCAGGTGAACATGCTGCTCAACGTTCATAGAGTCTGGCGGCATCAACTGTTTCTTCGGTGTTGTGGATCGATGATGTGAATATGCCGGAATGCAATGGCCGGCTCGAAATGAGAAAAAGCCTAAGCAAAATGCTCTTCGTAGGTCCTTCAAGGTGGATTGTGGAGCTTGCTCACCAATTACCGAGATTATTGGCAAATGTTTTGTGCTGCCCCGTTTGCGAGAATGTACCCCACCAGAACCGGGGACTCCGCCAGTATCCTGGCCATCAGCCGGGGAGCATGAACATATGAGATCCCATCGCCAGACTAATCATTTCAAATGCAGTAATATGATACATTTGTAGGGATATAGGTACTCTGTGCTTTGTCAAGTTACGGAAAAAAGGGACGTTTGAAGATGAGGACGTAGACCGACAATTAATCATCGAGCCACGTTGGTAAAGGATCGGCGCATTGCCGGTTAAGGAGTTGTGTTGGGCATCATGTGCAATGTCCATTTCGTGCCTACCGACACGCCGAAGACTATCTTAGAAACTAGCCCTGGTTTCTAGTGTTTGGTACTTGAGCTGTATAATCGAGCTGCCCTATTTGCCTGGGCTTTTAACGAGGAATAGTGCGGATTAGTTATTTTGTTATCGTGACGGCCTTTGAAGAGATCGTCAGCGCCTTGTCAACGATGCCTGCTTGAAGTTCGAAGAGAGCAAGCATGTGACTGACATCTTTTCTGTGGCCGACAAGGATATGACGACTGACTCTGTGGTGGAGTTACGGGGCCAATTTTGCGAAAGCGAAATGCCGCTGGTCGCGAATAATGCCATCCGCGCCCGCAACGGACTGCTCTGTTTGACAGGCCTCATAGCAAGGTAGTTAACGAATGGGCGACTAAACAATCTGCTACTAATGTATCCTATCTCACCTCCGTGATGGTCTGGAATATGTCTCAATTAATATACATCATGGGAAACATAGCAAATCACATGGAGAGCGGTGATGAAACGGCAGACGGTCGTGTCGCCCACTTGGCGAGCAACCTGTGTGAGAACGTGAAGTGGGTTATCGACGGAAGCTTGGATGGACGTTTTGACGGAGGGTTGTCGGGCTGCTCAAGCAGACAGGCTGCTACTAAATCCAGAGAATAATGCAACGTGCTAGCCTGCCATGCGGCCAACGACTCCCGGTACCATGGCTTGCAGCTTGCAAATGCTTGATACCGTAATCAATAGATGGGTGAAGCACGGAAATGTGTGGACGCAAACACCCAGCCAAGAAGGACTTAAGCTGCGTTGACATTCACTAGGGTTCGACATAGTTTGTGGGGCATTGAAAAAACTGCGAGTCGGTACAACTTTCTGTCCGAACAGCTGAGGCCGTATGATTTGTTCCAATTCGTTTGAGTACCACTCAATTACCGTACCTCAAATATGTGAGACCACGTTATCAACAGTCACAACAGACTGGACGTACTGTTACTCTTATGATGACCATTCCTGACACATCGAGTTTCCTGCGCTTTGTTTGGTGCCCTCAAAGTCAATATGAAATGAACGGGCAAAAGTGGCACGAGATATGCCGACAGGGATACGGCCTCAACGTCTCCAGAACTAAGGTAATTGTCCCGACGGCGTGTCACAACCTCGGCAGATATCCACATACTTGCTCAGGGATGGGCTCTTCGTAGGAGAGCTTCTTTCTGGGGAGATGAAAAAATTCAAGAAGCTCGGCCCCGAGTTGTCTGAGTGGGAACTGTCTGGTGTCTCCATGATGGTGCCAGTGCCCGGGCAGCTGGAGCTCGTGGTTTCCATACAATCTCTGCCATGTTCGTCAATTTACAAGGTCCTTAACACATCAAAGTTGATACCCAAGAATTTCAAGTCATGGCTGCACGATTCATTGCTGGGCAGTACATGTATGCGTGACTGAAGTAGCCTCGCTCCGAACTTATGAATCCAACGAAACACCCTCAGCACGAAATGGATCGCGAAGTTCCCCTACAGGTGGCCGTCGTCGGCACCGGACTAGCCGGCCTTACTACAGCATATCTTCTACAGAACGACAGACAGCGGCGATATGCTGTGACTCTATTTGAACGGGTAAATACCAAACATGCTCTGATTTTGAATTGCTGATTGAAATGCATAAACTGACCGTCATAGGCCGAAAGCCTCTCATTTGACTCTGCATCCGTCGCCATTCGAGATGAAGACTCCGGCAGCATTGAGCGCATCGATCTCCCCATGCGGGCTCTCGCTGGAGGCTATTACGCCAACGTGATGCGCATGTACGATCACTTGGGTATCCCATACCACCCCGTCCGATTTCTCTTCTCGTTTGCCAGAGCGACATCAGCTCATAAAGCCGATGCAGGAGCATCAGCAAAGACGTCTGCAGGGAGAGAGCCTGGAGAGTATTTCGTTCACGCTTCAAATCTGCACCAAATTCCACCCTGGCCAGGAAAACGCGGTGTTTTTGCACACCTGTTCGAGATTCTGTACTTGGTTCTCTGCCAATTCTGGTTCACGGTCGCGTGCTTCGTGGTGCGTCCTTCATCCGGCCGCTCTGAAGGAGGCGAGACGTTGGCCGAGTATTTAGAGAGAATCTGGATGCCACGGCGCTACACCACGCATTACTTGCTTCCAATCCTGAGCGGCGTGTCAACTTGCTCTCACGCAGAGCTTTTGGCGTTTCCTGCCAGTGATGTCATCAACTACAAGAAGCTCTCGCACGGCCAGCAGCACTACACGGTCTGCGGCGGAGTTCATCAGGTCGAAGCCAGACTGGCAAAGGAGATGAAGGATGTCCGCTTGGGGACATGCGTCGCAGACGTAACACCGTCTGCTGAAGGAAGGGTTGCAATTCGCTGGCAGCCGACAAGCAATCCGGCCGGGCCAGTCATGAGTGAAATCTTCGATCGGGTCGTCCTCGCTGTGTCGCCCGATGTCGCTCGCAAGGTCTTCAGTCCTTTGCGTGAGATCCTCAAGCCAGTGCCGACTCTCCGTGTGGAAAGCTCAGTGCTCCGTCCAGCTAGTGTACTGGCAGGTCAGTCGTTCACACTCGTGGTAGATGAAGAATGCCGCCCGTCGACCTGCTCACATCATCGGGGGAATATGACACCACCGCAGGCAATGTGCCTCAGAACCGACTTCGCTGGCGAGACGGCGCAGACAGAGGCACTACATACGATGCCAGGAGGAGCGATTGTCAGCACTTGCTCACTAGATCCACAAGCCGACGCGAAGAGAGTACTGAAGACGGCGAGGTTCACAAGAACGCTGAGAACGCTAGCGAGCAGAGTAATAATTCAGAAAATAATGGAAAAGAGAGTCTCCGACAAGAAGAGAGACACAGCTCTTGCCACCAAAGAATGGGTCAATGGACAAGGAAATGTATGGTTGTCTGGGGCATGGTGTTGGGACGGAATGGTTCTTCTTGAGGGCTGCCTCGTCTCTGCAATGAGAGTTGCGGATGATTTTGGTGTAGAAGTTCCATGGCAGGCGCACAGCGGGAAGAGGCGATGAGCACAGAACGCATTCAACCTATAGCAAACCGTGTGTATGAGATAAGTCGAAGGGATTAGGTTGAATTAAGAGTCTTACTTCTTCAATTGATGAGGCAATCAGGCCTCCGGGAGGGGCTGTGGTCGAGAGTAGCTAATATCGGACCTCCGCGCGTGCGCGGATCTCCGGACCCTTGTCATCTTTGAATTCCAGGTTCCCAATCCTCTAGCACTTTCGCACCTGGCAGCTGGCAAACCACTGAGGCAGCTGATTTGCGGTCCGCAAATTATCGAAGCCAGCTCTTATCAAATGGCGAAATGATGCTACCATGTCCCATCTAGCTTACATGTACTTGAGACAACGAGGTAAAGGCAGTTCCTACATCATGAGTTCAAGGAGTATGAACGGAATTCCTAGAGCTCACAGTCGTCAATGCCGCAATCTTATCGTCAGTCGCAGAAGACGAAGTCTTAGGCAGGAGTCGAGGTTTTGCTGTGTGATGGTGAGTAAAGATACGTACTAGTCACTACCCAAAGGCATGATTATAATAGATCAAATACGTTTATACTGAAGAGCCAAGCAACGTTCGTGTAAGGCATGTCATAACAACATCGGGTTTCTACCCGCAACGACACAGTTCGTGTCAAGCCTGATTCGATGTCTCATTTTCTCAAGGGCGCTTATATGCAGGTGCTGTCACATCGCTAACGATCCCTGCCACTTCAGTTATGTTGGATGACAACAATCAACACCAACCTGCGGGGCTCTCTTGAATCTGTGCCGTGTTCCGCCCCTGCCTGTGCTCTCTCGACTCACGATATCTGAGATGAGTTTGAAAGAATTCCTGACGAGCCTCGGTTGTTAAGCTTTATTGGTTTTTGAACCGAGCTGTGTTTTCCGCCTCTTTTTTCGCCTTAACTCACGCGCGCCGTCGGTCATTGCGGTCGATTTTCATATCGCGACCTCAACTACTAGCCACAGTTTTGTCTTCATTTCTCGTACATGGACCCATTGACCCCGCCAAACACTGAAGCAACGCCAAGAGATGGATCGACGATGGTGGGGGAAGCATCTCGACCTGAGGGCGTTTCTGGTCTTCCGTCGCATCATGCGATTCTACAATACTTTCGTCATTCTCGCCGCTCTCGTCAGCGGTCTAGCCGTCGCCGCTCTGACATTCCCCGACTTCCATCCCAGCACCGGAGTAGGCCAGGTCGGCGAAGGCTTCCTCTGCAGCGCAGCCATCACAGCCGTCTTGTCCGCTGTGATAGGAACGATGCTGCTCTTCGCTTTTGAGGGCGCTGAGAAGGCAACTCGAACGGATCTTGCCGTCGCGTGGTCACCGTTATTTCTCCTGGACATATCAATTGTTGAGTTTCTCGTTGGGATGACGTGCTGGTACTGCGGCAAGAACACGCTCTGGAGGGGAATGTTGATGGCGGCAGAGCTGGTTATGCTGATGCTGTGCTGCGTCGCGCTTTCGGTATGGATGTGGCTTCACCTTAGCCGAGAGGGGGGACTCGGCGCAGAGGAAAGGCAAGCAGTGGACGAGCAAAGACGAACAGCGGATGACTAGGTCATGCAGTCTCAATACTGGAGACCTAAGATTCTGTATACGGTGATTCAGGAAGGAATGCCAGCCTCCGGAGGACGATACTTTTCTTCAAGCACAAAACCACCGCGTTCAACTCGACACCTACCACGTTTGCCATCCCAAATCGATTCCACCGCGGCTTTGCAGCGGAGAACCTTCCAACGCTGGGCTACCTTCAAGTCACTATTGATCAAAGATGAAATAATATCGAGAAATTGCTCAAGGAATCTTTCTGAACTCTTCGAACCGATTCTGCAAGAGTACTACTTCACTCTAGAGACTCAATTGATTGGTCCGAGGAAACTCATCAAGTTCGAAACTTTGAACTCCGAGCACTTGATGATGAAAGCACAGCGAACATTTGTAACAACAAGCAAAACCTCCGGAAACTTATGTTATTACGCATAATGCGAGGACGCTCCGATGGCTAGTCCACATGCTCCAGTACATGATTCCCTGAGCTCGGCACGAAGTTCAAGGTCATGGTCATGACCAGCCCTGCTGCTTGCAGCTTCAGCGTTCGAGGCCGTTTGGTAGAAAATATTTGAGACCAATACTGAAAAAGTTGCATTCTCTGCTAGGCTTCACAAAGATAGCTCCGGGATAATTCTAATACAGAGTGCAACGAGAGGAAAATTTGCCGAAAGTGCGTTGCAGTTGCACAGGTCTGCCTCTGTTACGGAAAGGGATAGGACTAACCTAGCGTTGTACCCAACGGCACGGGAAAGGAAAAGAGCTGCAGGCAAACAAACTCTTCAAATTTGCGCGATACTGCGCTTCCCGACGATCATCCTACACTACTGGTATTCAGTATCACCTTGTACAAAAAAGGACCCTTCCTCGAGGTCGCATAAACCACACGTCCACTGCCACTCTGAGATACCTGAGTTGCATGTGATTTGGGGAGACTTTATTTCTCTACTTTTATGAACATTACGATAATTGCGTGCAGAATTCTCTTTGAATGAATAGACTGGGGTGCGTGGCAATGATCAATAGGACCATCCTGATCCTGTCGGGCTAGTACCTAGGTAAAGTTAGGTGAGGTACACAGGCACTATCCATCATGTGGCGAAACGGAAGTCGAGCCTACATGTAGCATCCATTAGTCAAAGCTGTGAGGTTCTGCTGATCACTGACACAACTTACCGTTTGTTCCCTTTGTCTGTCGTGTTTGCACGGTAGTCATGTTGCTGCTCCGGTGTCATAGCGTCCCACTTCTTGGCCTTGCTGTTGTTCCTCCACCGATAGTAAAAGTAGGTGAAGGGGTATTGTACAACCTGCATACCATGTGAGCTATGAGATTCAATCTTGAGATAGATTGGTCGTCTACTTACACACATCCAAATGCAGATGACCAGCAAACCCTTGTTGGCCTTGAAGTATCGGGGGGCATCACTTGGTTGATAGACTTGGCTAGTCAGCATCCTCTGCCACCTTGAGTCTGAACGAGAGCTACTTACTATTTGCGCCGATCATACCACTGACTTGAACCCACATGTTGTACAGGCTGAAGAAAAGTGTGAGGTGAATGTAACATCACTAACAAGAGTTGATGCGACTTACGATGCGGACACTGTTCTGTTCTGGACGGATCCAGCATTCCTACTCGTCCATGCAACTTGAATAGGGTGTGTGCTGGCAGGGATTAGCAGTCGGAAAGGACAGATCGAAATCTTCTACACCTACTAAGGGAAGGACAGCAGCACTGTTGCGATCGCAAAGTACGCCCAGGGGCTCGGGTTCGCAATCACAATCAGGGCAATGAAGCATGGCAATAACCATGCATCCTCTGCCATGGCGACGAAACTGCGGTTGTTGCAGAGCTCGCTAGCGGCCGTGATGGCCAACATGGTGATACTCGATCCGATGATCCACGGAATTGAGAGCAAGTTGGTTTGGATGACGTTGAACTTGAGGTCTCGGAGCGACAAAGTGAGGTACTGGTTGACAGGGTACTTCGGCAAGCCAAAGAGCAAGCCGAGAGCGTACAAAGGCCACATGTCGTAATCCTTGGAGCATTCCCATATCTGCTTGACGGACAAACCTTGTCTGTTGTACATACCACCTTTCTGGGGATCGTCGCGGATGACTAGCAGAGTCTATTAACTTGGGAATAGGTGTTGCTTTCTTTTGAGACGTACCGGAGTTAACAATGATCTTTTCCTCCTTCTCGTTGAAGTAACCCTTGGGGTTCCACCAGCTCTTCGTCTTGGCCGGGCATTGAGGCATAAGGAAGAACGAGCACAGTCCCACACAGACTATATTGATGTTGTTAGCGATGTAGCCGCAAGATGATGGAGCTGTTCTTGTTGACTTACATGTGAAAGCACCTCTGTTGACTGTATATTAGTAAATTGGCAACGTCGCAAGGTCATATTGGGGAGGCTCACTCAATGAGGAATAACCAACGCCAGCCCTCATATCCTAAGATGCCGCGCATTGATACCAGACCGACAGCAGCAAAACCAACACCGATGTCAACTAGAAATACCGATCAGTCAGGCCTAGATGGAGCTTGAGAGTAGGCGAAGCGACGTACCTAGTTGCGAAGACATCCAAAACCAGGCCAGTCGAATCGGAAGCTGGAGAAAGACGTTAGAATGGTGTTCTAGTGCTGAAGGCCAGGACGGGACTGCTGACTGAGGTGCCTGTGTACCAGTAACTCAGGTAAAGAATTGTGTCACTACCAAGGAGTTAGTCGGAAGCTTGGAGAGGCTTGTCAAGGATCAAGACTTACGGGATGAAACCTCCTTGAAAGGTTGCGCTAGACACTCGGTCGTAAGTACACGTAATACACTCTCTCAGGCGCATCAACCAGACTCACATAAGGTATCTTGTTGCAAGAAAGGACGTTCGACCCTTCAGAAAGAATTGCGCTCCAGAGATGATGGAGAAGAGGCAGATCTGAATGGGGATCCATAGATCGGGTCCAATGCTATATGACTGAATAAGTACAAGTTCACGACTCGACGAAGAAGATCTACTCACCGCTTGGAGATCAACTGCGATGGTAGCTCGGCAACTAGAAAGCCAACACGGGATATCGTTTGACCAAGGTTCTGAGTCGTGTAAGCGGAGATCAGAGCAGCCAGTCTCCCAGTCCATAACTCACATAGTCGCCTCGCGTCAATCCGAGATCGTCAAGCATATTGTCGGATACGGCGTTGGATATGTTGTTCCGGTCGATGTTGAGGGCTGCGAACATTACACAAGCCCAGACCTGTGAGTTATCAGCTTGCGTTCCTTATCGAGTTGTCTAGGTCATTGTACCATGATTTTCCAGTCGACTTTACGTCTAACAGCACGTTCCTCTCTCCATGTCCATCGGAAGCTAGGATCAAAGGCAGCCCAGTTCTCCCATTGAGGGTGAATGTAGAGACTCTTGTACTCCTCGACATTCTCGGAGTCCCAGATACTTGGTTGCGTGGCAATCTGTTAAGCATGTCAGACGCCATCAGGGTCTTTCGCAAGTTGATATGAGTGGATATACGCACCGCATCGAGGTCGTACTCTTCCGCTTTTGGCCCTTTTCGGATTCTGAAAAATCGGAGGATGGCATCGCCCATTGCCGCTTCCATGCGTTGAGTCTGCTGCGTTGCAAGCGCGGGGGCTGTCGGAGGCGCGGCATCGACGGTAACCTTGTCGTCAACAGCGGATTTGGAACCCAGGCCGCCATGGTCAGACGACGTATCGGACCCGGCGGGTGACGGCTTCCCAACTGGATGTTGCGAGGACATCTTGTGCGTCGTCGAAAGATGGAACAATGACGTACGGTGTCTGCACAACGCGAAAGTTCAAACCAAAATCCAGCCCGCATGCAGGACAAACGAACCGTTCTATATAAATGTCTCTTGATAAAACTCTTTCAGCAGGGGTTTCAACATGCACTGCGTCCCGAGCAAACGGCTTACTCTCCAGCCAAGCTGTCATGGAACGTCGCCACAAGGCGTGACGAGCATTTGGGGGTGCTAATGGGTAGGAAAGGGGCATGCTTTCTCCAAATCTCGGTCTGATACCGAAGGGCGATCCACAAGTAGATGACGACAGGCTACCTATTCAGTAATGCTGACCCTCCAACATCAGGTTAAACGGTTGTATTCCGAGGAGATCCAAAAGCTGTATGATGAATCTATATGCTATGCCGTTAGTTGCGACAGTTGTCGGAGCTTGACCAAGGGTAGCTGCATTTCCTTGAGTTTTCATGGGACTTCACGTTGAAGCTAAGCCCTATACCAACAATTTGCAACCTCGTCACGAGGTTCAATTTACTTCTTATGGGCATTCTTTTCTGCCCACGGAGAGCTGTCACTTGAAATTGAACTCTTGCAATTAATGGCATCGCTGCGTGTAAAAGACAAGGAACAAGTAATAACTGGGGCTGATGCAACTGTGTGGGTGTCTAGTGTGTCGCGTCAGCTTGCTTGCAACTCGCGCAATTGATTCACCATCGTCGGAGTCGATGGCGTGCTACACGTGACTGCTTCCTGTTGAAGGACCCCAACATGTCCAATCATTTTGCAATTGACTGTCATCCGGAGAATTAGGACTCCTCCGCTGACAGTTCCATTGTAACAAACGCGTCGATCTCATGGCGAAATTTCGACTTGTTGCTTGGTGCGCTTCCCCATTCTACATATGTTGTCGTGCCCCCTAATGAAATACTAAAATCTAGTTACTATCATTGAATATCTTCCTAGAAACAGCCATGAGCCTTGAAGAGCAAGAAGTCTCTACATATTAAAGTGTCACTGGAAGCCCCCTAGATTGCGGCTGCAACCACGGCCAGGTGTATGCTAAGGTGCTGGGGCACTAGAGTTCTGGTTGTGGTTCTTCATGAAATCTTATCATCATCTGGCCGGGGACAACGGTCCTAGCTCTGAAAGCTGAACTTTTGTATTTCATCGTAGGGGCATGCTTTGTTAGCACCCGCAGTCTTTTTCTCAACCATTTCCTGAAGGGCCATGAAGTCGGCTTGCCTGCTCAGTACTTTAGGTAGATCGATGACACAACGATAGTATGCCGCTCAACGTATCGGCTCTATTTCTGCCTGTTTTATTTTTCCTCTTGCTACTGTAACAACTGCTGCTGCTGCTGCTATTCTTCCTACTGCCTGTAATTCCTTGCAGAACTCGCTATAGGAAGCGTGGTGCGACAGCTAGAACAATCACAGTGGCTATAAGAAGGCGGCTACTTAGCTGTGTGATTCCCACTCTCTTACTTTGACACCCAAATTTCTATGAGGCGTGAGAAGGAATGCGTCCCACCAGAGTGATTCAACATCCAGAAGAAACAATCACCCCTTTCGTTCCACTGCGCAAATTCTCAGGATCATGCTAGGTTACAGCGTCAGAACGTAACGATATCGCGCCTTTCCAGCTTCGAAATCCACAAGTCCTTGGTTTGCTTCCGCCATGGGCCTCTCCTGAACCCAAAGATTGATTTCTTTATCAGCAGCCGAGTTCAACATCTCGCGAATCTCTTATCGAGACCCCGTATTTGACCCCGTGATTTTTATCCGCCGCGACACGAGCATGGAGGCGTTAACCTCGAACGACCCGTCTTCCGGCAACCCAACTTGGATAGATGTGCCATCTAGACTCACCAAGCTGAGATAATGGTTGAAAGGGATCTTACCCGTGCAATGGTGTTGATGATGATGTCAAAGGCACCAGTATACTCAGACACCCAGTCCAATCGCTCACCCCTTGCGATATAATCGTCCGCACCCATTCTGAGAACTTCATCTCGTTTCGACTCACTCCTAGATGTACCCACAAGTCTATCCGCCTCGAGAGCTTTGCAAATAGAATACTGCAATGGCCCAGACCTCCAACTCCAATAACACCCACAGTCTTCCCCGGCCCACACCCGTTCAATTTCAGCGGCGAGTACACAGTGATGCCCCCGCAAAGCGTGGGCGCAACCGACACCGAGTCGAACCGGTCATCAATCTTGAATACAAAATGGGAAGGACAGCGGTGGTGAGTCGCATACCCGCCCGTCGCTTTGCCACCGTTGTACTGGAAGGCGCCGTACGTATGCACGGGTTTCTTGCAGTACGACTCCTTGCCGCCGTCGCAGGCCTTACAAGGGCCGAAACGGCCGAGGCAGGCGTTTGCTTGGGCGCCAACACCGACGCGATCCCCCGCTTTGATGTCTCCAATAGCTTTCGTCCCGACGCGGATGGCGATGCCGACGATTTCGTGACCGACGCAGATCGGGTATGGAGCAGAGTACTATCAATTCTCATGGTTTATCAGCATAATAGACAGGCAAGTATGAAGCAAAACTGGCAGCGAATTGAAATTAGGTGTACATACCCAGCCACTGCGCAACGTGTGCAGGTCTGTCCCGCAGACGCCGCTATGGGTGACTTTGATGTCAATATCTGTGTCCTCCCATTCCTTGGGTTCAAACTCCTGCCAAATCATTTTCCCCTCTGTTGCTGACTTGTCGAGGCCAATCCAGCCTTCGAATTTGTAGTTGAGAGTCGACATAGCGGCTAAGAATGTGAACGAGGTGCCGAGACTACACGTAGTGGGTGTTGAGTGATCCTATATGGCGGGCACGGGACCCGAATGTAGTCAAGGAATTGACGATGAGGTATCTTCTTGTTTCGTTGAAGAGGAAAAATAGTACAAACTTGGGTAACTGACCACTTGTGCATAAGAGGAGAGTATCATCGCTTGATCTAGAAGTTACGCCGTCTGAAGAAATCTCCATTCGTTGACACTTACGTACTCCATGGTCGTTCTAGGGGTGTGCCCATTTTTCGACACCACTTTGTGTGTCTAAAACCACACAAAGCCCCTGATCCGTCCGGCCGTGTATTTGAGAGCAAACCCTTGATGTGGTGTAATTAAGGCAGGCTCACAGGCCACTATCAAATCATTGTTACTCCATGACGCCCAATCATGGTCTAAACTAACTACTTAACCTACACCACGAAAACTATCATTTGTCTCCATAATCTTCTTTACCCATACTTCTGCTGATAAACACTCACCGCGATTCTGAGAGTTCGAACAAGCCTTATCGATGCAACCTTTGTGCTGTTGCATATGTTTGTTGCCATGGTATGGAGTTGGGTCGAGGCAGCGGACCAACTTCGACATTTCTAATCTCCCTCTGATGCTAAGTTGTCTCGCGTTGGTACTTAGATGATGCAAACTAATCTCCACAAATGACCGATCTCTTGTAAGCGTGATACGATTGGAATCAAACCCCCCACTGATACGTTGCATAGCAGAGACTACAATAGACCTGAGAGTAGCCTCTTTTGCCAAAGAAACTGAGCATCATGAAACTACCTGTTGCATCGATGTGTTCCGAGCTGTTACAAGCGCAACACTGCAAATGTTCGTGACGCCGAATTTTGCTCTGATAGCATTCCGGCTTTTCTATGCTTGCCTCCCTGAAACAGACGCAACGCTCCCAGTCGAAAGACGACATGAATTGGTTGGAACTGAAGGTAAGCTGCGGACAATGGTATTCGCTGCCAAATCGATCCTCTATGGCAACTAGACCCTGCCGAATGAGGTTTTTTGTAACGAGCTGTCCGCTTGGTATGTCACATACCATCATAGTCCAGTGTAAACGCAAGAAATGGTTGCTGGAGATAGATAGCGCTGGAAAGTGTTCCCGTCCTTTTGACTGAAAGAGCATTTGACAAACCTGACAGGATATGCTTAGGCTCTTTGCACCCTTCTGAGCGGATGCACTCTCCATCCAACTGAATATCTCATGCAGGGACACCTATTGATGAGGGCATATTTGGACCTTTTCCTCCCACCCCATACATATCGGGCGATCTTTAACAGGCTGATTCTCAAGGAACAGAGTTTTGTTGTGATTTCTTTCGCAATTGGTGCAAAACACGTGCCTCTTTTCCGGATAATAGTTAGCTTTGGGACAAACCAGGTTGGTAGGAGTAGATTGACTCTTCAAGCAAACTTCGCAAACGGCATTCGGTTCTAGCCTGTGTGCGATCTCTCGTTTGTCTTTAGCAGAGAGATCATTCAGATCCATTTTGAAAATTGGCATGAGTCCGCTTTGTGACCCCCCCCCCCCCGCCCTTGAGTTTCTTTTGCCGATGTCGCAAATGATTGACCGACTACTGATATTCGGAAGCGACGTGAAATGGTCGACTGAATTCGTATTCGAATGCTGAATGACTTTCAGGTAGCTCTACTGGCTTTTGAAGGCTAGAGAAACAAGCATATGCAATGCCGAGAAGAACATGGAGCAGCTTTGTCGTAGACAGAATATGTCAACGGGATCCAAACGTTCCATTACTAGCAGCTGTATCTGGAGTGGAACCTGATATATTGGACATCATTTCGCATTGATTTTGACGTGCTTTTCTTTGGAATTTTGATCATTACCGGGGTATATATCGCCTGATCTGCAGGCTTTGCTGGCCTTTCGATAGGGTGCAACTAAATCGCCATTCTGTGTTGACGTTTGGCGGTATGGAGGCAATGGATTGAAATTACTGAAAACCCAGGAAGGCAGTTCGGTGATCAGAAACTCCCAAAATTGATCCAGTACAAATGGAGATTACGAATGGAGGAGAACGCGATATTATCGGATGTAGATGCAGGATAAACGTGTGGATGCAGTGAGGCCTGGTGGTAAGGGAGCCGTGCTGGGAACGAAGAAACAAACACCGTTTTGAGAAGCTGCAAGTGCATCAATCGAATGGGGGTTTTGAGCTGAATGTAAGCCCCCAGTAGTAGTTCGGGCGAGGATTGACGGAAAGAGACAGGATGTTGCCGGGACGCGGATATGGTGAACATGGAGTGCATTATGCTCATCATGGGGCCTTCGGTCTTTTTAAGATGGGATGTCACGTTAAGGTTCACCACCGGTAGGACCTTGATGAAGGGCCGGGACCTCGCACACTGCCATGTCCACACGGACCTTCAAGACGTGAGAAATCTCTTTTCTACATGTAGGAACATGAAACTATTTCTAATGCCATCAACTCCCTGCAAGGATGCCGCGGGAAATCCACCACTGGGCTCTTACTGAAGAGCTGGATGCCTTAGAGTTGAATCGTATTGTCGCTTTGGCGACGTGAGGAGCCTTGGGGACGTTAGTGGGCCCGCGCAGAGACCTTTGCGCACCATTTGATTAGCGGTGCTTGGGAGTTTCAACAGACTCTAAAGTCGTACGCGTAAAGAATATTGAGCTCATGTTCAGATAACTGTAAGGAACTGAAAGAAACTTCAGCATGAATTAAGTACTCATTCACTGCGAATTGTTGTGTGAATACCTTTGACACGGCAATATTGCCGTAATATCACTTGCAGCTTGGATGTTAGGACTTGGCGTGATGAGAAGCTCCGAACGCCCATATCTGCTCTCTCGGTTGCACGTTCAATCGCGAAACCGATTAAGAGAATCGAAAAGCCTTCAATAGGACTTTGAATAAACTAAGTTCATATCGTGAAGGGCCTTATGACTACAAATACCCGTAAAGGAGTTAAGCAAAGTGTCTGTCAACTAAGCACTAACGGAATGGCCCTGGGAGTGATGATGTGCCACGCCATGCCCGAGCTCTCGGTGCCCCGCAACGCGTTGGTAGCTTGATCGCGTCTTGCTAAGTGGCATGAACGCGACCATCTCACCCCTCCTAAGCACTATTATTTCGAACCTTGAACAAGTCATCTCGGATGCTGAACGCGCTGCAAGACGACTATACCTTGAATTAAATACATCAATACTTGACAAGTTATTCACCGACATCTCGCAAGACACTTTTCAAAGCTGTCCAAAATGAGTGGTCTAATAGAGAGCATTAAAGCCCACTGGAGTCGAGTGACTTGCTGCGGTTGCGGCAGCGTCTACCCCGAACCGTGTCTCTCCATCAGAGATCAACGATGCGCCAGCCGCGAGGAGGTGCTGACCCTCACGGCGGACTGCGAGGTGGCAATAGCTGAAAGAGAAGATATCAACAATCAAGTGCGGGCTTTCAAGCAGGACGAGAACCGTCTGCACGAGACGCTGGCTCGCGAGGACGCCTACATCAAATCTCTTGAAGCCGCACTGGAGGAAGCGCGGAGTCGCCGTATAAAAACACGTGAAGAACACAATACCCGCTGGGCAGACTTTACAAAAAACTTCGACGGCCATCGAGACACGATCAATAAGTCTGGTCATTTGGTTGATCAGTTGCATGAAGCCATGAGAAGGATGCATGCCCTCAACCCCAGACATAATACGAATAACAGCCTGGAGGATTACGACCAGTCTCAGGAAGACAAAGAGAACATCAGACCCCGGCGGCAGGTTTGCAGTATTCCGCACACTTACTTCTCAAGCGACGTCAATCAGCCGAGTGGGGGTGAATGGGCTCGCATGGTGAGAGAAGGGACGACAAAGGATCAGGCCGTCGCGAGCTGGGTCTTTGCCACCTTAGACGCGCAGTCTGAACTTGATCGGGGAGTTGGTGCCAACGATACATGTAGTAACCAGACATTGTCATCGGCGAGGGGACAGCGGAGAAGAAAGTCGTGCGGTCAACGGCATCGGTATCGACCGTATGATTCTCGATGTTGACATTTGCTCTGGAGTAGCTGAGCCTCTCGTGGATTATGGCACATACACATCTAATACTAGCCTGACATTTGGATCCTGTTTATCAAGCCGCCTGTGATATTACCTCGCCGAATGCGAGGCTGTTTGTTCAGTCATGCGCTAGAGTCCGCTACCACTGGCGCTTTTCCGCCATTTGATGAACACTAACCCTCGGCAACAGCGAGAACATTGAGACGAAGGCAGTGTATGAAGGAAGGCAATTCCCGCTGATACGGTGCGCGCTAGGTAACGGTGCCCGGTCCTCTGGGTTAGCACCCTACCAAACACTTCCGGGCATCATGGAGGAGTTGAGTCCCCCGATGGAAGGACTGTAGGATACACGCGCCATCTTACCCATGATAACGCGTAGAACCTGCGAATTGTCTTACACTCTTTACTCTTTCAGACCTGTCTACCTACTACAGAAATGTGGCTTTCAATGTCTGAGTTTGAGCCAGTGCCAGCGATCAAGTGTGCCCCCCTGTGAAACTCTGGTAAGGGGATCCGTGCAATAACGCAGTAAAACGCGTCGTTCCCTGACGCGTCCGCGTCTGCGAGCACCAGGCCTTTAAACCCCCGCATCCACGCGCTTTCACTTACACTGCTTTTTTTGTCCAGCACACTTTCGTAATAAATACTCAGCCTGGTATTTGAAGTGTACACTCAGTAGAGCAAAAATCTCATTTGAAATCGGGTTACTCCATTCGTCAGGACTACGCAAAGATCAATAAAGTAAGGACTACCGTGATAAGACCACTTAAGGTGAGAGGATCCGCTCCCGTGTTAAACAAAACACAGTGTGCTCACGCCTGCCAGATGCAACCCCTGTGGAAGTCAGAATACGTCGGTGGATTTGCAGAATGGGACCCGACACCATGCAGAGGTTGTGGAAAAAGTGGCAATCACACCACCATCAAGCACAGAAACTGCGCAATGATGGAACTTGAATCCTCCGTCGCCGCGCGGGTCATGACCGATCGTGCTTGGGAACGTCTGGAGCGTATTATCAAAAATGCAGAATACGTGATCGATGAATTTGACGGGGAATGCCAACTGGCAGATGCTGCCGTGCGTGAGATGGAAGATGCCATCACGAAGGCGGAGGAGATAGCAATTTCGCAAGCAGTCCTCGGCCCTCTGCGAAGGGCCTTGCGCAAGGCGCAGGCAACCCGCGACAGCGTTTTGCTGACGCGCATCAACCGGGAACAGATGCTGGCGTCACTGTATAGACAGAGGATGGCAATGTGCGACTTGTTGAACGTGGCAGAGGTTCGTCAGGAACTAGCGATTGAGACGTACCTGACGACTCGACCGACCAGCCGAGACACGAGATTGGAAGCGCCAGGAAGCGCTGCAGCACAAGCGTCGGAAAGGGCGAGGTGGTGGCAGCAGGAAGAGTTTGCCGATCCTGAAGAGCTCGGAGAGGATGAAGAGCAGCGATACCAGTACTTTCTGGATGACTGGAAATATCGTCGAGAACAGAAAATCCGCGACCCCAAAATCGACTTCCTCCGCGATTGTATAAATTCACCATCCCTCGGCCTCCCTCCAAGTTGTACGCGTCGTGCCATGGCACAGGACGAAGAAGACAGTTGGGGTCAGACTCCCACTCAAGTGGCATCCTCCACGCCTGTTCACTCGATCAAGATAGAAGATGAAGAGGAGGAATTTGTTAGGTGTCCTACGCCCGCGTCTTCACCGCCCATGTCTTCACCACCCGAGACGATGTCGAGTCCCCGCAGACTGCTGTGGGGGCATACCAATGAAAGGGCGACACGAGGCAGCGTGAAGCGCGAGGACAGCTCTCATCCGGCGTCCGATGATTCGATAGAAGAGGCGCTGGGCCGCGCATTCAGAAACATCGAGAAGTCCGAAGGTGCTGGTGCTACCGCGGCAACGGGCCGGGCCCGACGAACTACGGGTGCTACTCGGCAGAAGCGGCGGGTCAGGCCGTACTAGAGTGAGACGCGGATTGAGACCGTGAGATCCCCGGAACCTCGGGATGCCTGCGTGGAAGGGTTCTAGAATGGATAGTTTGTACACTTATGACGCTTGTATTATAGCTATGAACAACTTTATGAAACAAAGACCAAGCTCGCTCCGGGACATTGGATTGACAGAAACGGTTGGGAACTTGGGGATCGCCTCATCTCCTCCTTCTCCAACCCCTGACGCTCAAGAGACCCTCAGAGGGGCGGTTCCATCCAGAAACTGGAGCTCCTTACCAGGGGGTCACAATGTAACCGAAAGTGAGAGTCATGAAAATCCCGCCGTATCCGTGTGCCACCTGAGCCACTTTCCCCTATTTGGTAGCAATTTCGGTGGAGAACTGCACATAGAAAATCCAACGTTCAAAGTCAGTTTTTTCTTCAACCCATGTCCTTTTGCTTTTTTTTATGAAGAACATATCCGTCCATGGCTCCATGCCCCCATTCTCCTTTTCTTTGGCTGAGCAACGGCTGGAAACGAACCACTCCCCCGAAACTTGGATTTCTCATTGATGAGACCAGAGAAAGGATGAGCGAATCGGCATCAAAGCCATGCAATGGTGTGGAAACTTGCAGAAAGCTTCTGCAGCCAGGGTTTTCTTGCTCTTCCTGCCGGCAGGCATGGGTACCAGCACCAGGCTGTTGGAAACGAATAGTCTCTTGGGGTTTGAGAGTTTGCTCGAGAGTTTCTCAGCACTGAGCACAGGCATGATGCCATCGTGTGACATGTTTGTGAACGATCTTCAGCATAAACCAAGGTTCGAGGAGCTGTCAGACCTGCATCTGACGGCACAACTGACTCTTGACTCTTTATCCAACACCCAATGACGCATTACGTGTCTGCATACGAGAACCCATACGTATCCTCATGCGAACCTTGGGCCGTTCACCTGGGCACAAATGGAGTCGACTCAATATCGCTAACTCTTCCAAAAGATCCACATACATTCCCCTGGGACCTGGAGTAAAACGGGGTCCTCTGCAATGATGAAGAGGATCGTGACCCCCCGCCACCCAGGTGCTTCCAATTAAGCTGTGAGAGAGAGGTGGTTTCTTTTCCTTCGTTCCCGTTCACCTCAGGACCCTTTCCTGTTCGAATGTCCACCTTTAGACCCCTACCTACATCATCTACAGCCTCCTTTTGACACCCCCACCGGCGGGAAACAAGATCTTCGAACCACCAGAAGGTGAGACAGACCCCGTGCTTGATTGCAGCGGGAATCTGCCCATGGGGCATGTTACTTGGAAATGCCTTCATTTGCGACCCCGATGAGTAAGGCTGAGTGAGCTGACATGGGGTTGAGTCAAGTGCGAACGTATCCGTAACCTCGGAAAAGAGTGTACATTTCCCCTCTGAAGCAGTGGTAGTCCATCCAGATGGACCCGGATGTCTGCCGGAACTGCGGCCACAGCGGCAAGCACATTGACTTTGCGGACGCCCGATGCGCCATCACGGAACGGGATGACGCCGAGCGCGACAAGCTCCAGGCCGACGCCGCCCTGGCCCGGGCCCGCGACATCTGCGAGACGTCGCTCTCGCTCATGAAGCGGCAAATGCAGGAGCTCGAGGACGCCAACGAGGCCATTGACGCACTGCGCGCAGCGCTGGCGGCCGCCGAGGACCGGCGGGAGCGCGTGCGGCGTGACCTCGGCACTCACGGCGACGTGTGCCTGCTCGCACGGTCGAACCTCGAGGCGGCGGAGGAGATGGCCATCTCGGCTGCCGGGCGGTACTTTGAGGCCGGAAGGGCGGTGACCGCGTTGGAGGATCGGGAGCATTTGCGGAAGCAGTCGCCGAGTATTCACGTAGAAGAGGCGCCGCCCTTGCCGATGACTGTGCCTATGGAAGAGGACGACGATGCGGAGGAGGAAGCAAGAGAGAAGGAAGACCGGAGGTGGAAGAGGTCGAATGAGCGGTTTTGCAAGTGGTTGCGGCAGTCTGAGGCGCAGCGGCAGATTATGAAGTCGTCGTGGACTAAGCTGAGGGTTGCAGAGAGGTTAGCTGGGGAGAGCGTCAACGTCGACGTCGATGTTGATGTAGATGTCGACGCAGTTGACGACGAAGAAGATGAAGAGACGGCACGCCGGAAAAGGGTCCAAGCGTGGACTGCAGCACGGAGGCTGACGGACCAGCTTCCACCGGAGGAGGATCCTACCATGGAGACGGAGTACCTTGAATCGGAGCCGACCGATTCCGCGGAGACGACGGAGGAATCTTCTGAGCCATTGGTGTTGGCTCCGGCGCCGACGTCTGCTCCCACTTCCTCCGCCCACAAGACGGGCGTATCCAAGAGAACGCCGGCACTGAGGACAAGGGCAAAGACTGGCAGAGCTGCGACGACGGCGACCGCGCCTGCACCGCAAGCCCCACAAACTGTGCCGCCAAGCCCGGTAAAAGGACGCAACCTGCGGACTGCTCGAAGGGTGGAAAGCCAGACTCGCTCGGAACCGACGCGGCCGACAACGGCTACGACAACAGCGACAAAGAGGGTCAAGAGGGAGCCGAGAACGACATCTGCGGTCGTGATGGGAAAGACGGGAACTACTACCGCTCCTAGCTCAGATGGTGCCGCCGCCGGCCGGCCGGCTGCGAGGACACGGGCTCGGACTGGGAAGACCCCGGCAGCGCCTACGGTAGCGGCAACGGAAACACCGGCGGCAACACGGCCTCAGAGGGCTACGAGAAGGAGGTCGGTGAGGGCGCAGCCGTACCCTCAACCGGGTGCTCAACCGAGATGGAAGTGAGGTGTTTCCATCGATCTGGCCATGGTGGAATGGTGTGGCGGTTGTGTTGAAATTGTGAAGGCCTTGAGGAGGGGGCCGATGCCCTCCTCGTCCATACCCCTCAGATTGAATAGTCTCAATTCATAGCGTTTCTTTTGTCAATCTCTGTACTCCATGAAATCGGTTGTACTCGATGTTTTCTAGTTGCATATGTTGGTTGGCCAAAAGCCCAGTCATGAAAAATGTGGTGATATTTGTTGAGAAAATGAGTGAGAGCCATCTGATTAGATGACCAAAAAATGTCGCCATCGGAGCTACCCATCACGACATAGCGGACCGTCAACTCTAAAAGAACCTCCACACCGAATCCGCACTTCTCGTCTTCTTGAAAGCGCCGTACCATCTACACAGCGGGTACATAATCGCCATAACAACCAGCCAATTCGCCCACCAAACCCAAATGTTACTGACTCCGACCGCAGGCCTACCGTCCATTGGAGGAGGCAGGCCGTTCTCGCGCCCAAAGAGCCCAACGAGCAGCATGCACAAGCTGAACAGAATGACGAGGTGCGTGAGGTAGAAGAAGAGAGCCGACGTGCCAAATACGAGAAGAACGCCGAGCCACTTTGTCGCAACCCGCGGAGGTACCGAACCGAAGATGGCGAGCAGGAAGAACGTCGCCGCGAGAGTGTATGCGAAGAAGGCAAAGTCTGGCGGGTACTTCACGACGTAAAAGAAGGACGCCACGGAAACGAGGTACGGGTTCGCATCTGGGCTCGCCGCCTGATCCGGGGTCCGGAGACATCCTTCAGACAGGTTCCCGATGCGGAGTACACGCGTGAGGACGAAGAGAACGCTGAAGACGAGGCCCGCGGCGACGTTGCCGCATGCCAGCTTCGTGGGCGACAAGGGACGAGCAAGGATGATGCGCGCATAGAGGAGGCCCAGGATGGCAAAGGAGAGCCACGCCAGAGGCGGGAAGCCGGACATGACGCGCGGGCGGTTGACTTCAAAGAACCAGAAGCGCCAAAAGTCGTTTGCTGCCGTGCCGGTCACGGGGGAAGACGAGGCGGCGGCGCAGGTTCCGTGGGTCGGCGACACCCAGTGGTTCCAGCAAATCGTGACGAATCCGAGAACAAGGAGCACGGCGTTGTGGATGTGCCATGAAATCTGTTGGGCGCGAGCGGAAGCCTTGGACTTGGGCGGGTTATCGTGGCCCGTATGAACGAGAAGAGGCGTCCTCTCACTTCCGTCGCCGCGACGACGACCACCTCCATAACCGGTACCTGCAAAGAAACGATCGAGCACGTTAGCCAACAACGGCTCCGTCTCGTTGATAGCGAGCCACAAGAGGCCGACGAGGAGGTAATCCACCGCCAGCGCCACGAGGACCATGTTAAGAAACCACAGCTGGCCCTGCGTCAGCACGAACCCCATGACCGTCGAGACGGCCGTCAGAATGACGGCGCGCATTGCAAAGTGCTTTGCCATCCGGGCAGACGACCAGCCCATCTTGAGGCGGGAGCGGCCGAAATACGCGACGCCCATGCCGAGGAGAAAAGTGAAGCCGGGGGCGCAGAGGTGCGAGAGCATGCGGACGGCGTAGCCAAAGTGGCCGTTCCAGCGCTCGACGACGGCGGAGTCGGATTCTGAGTGGTTGGCGCCGGTGGAGTGCGGCCAGGCGTTGAGGCCGACTACGTTGTGGTCCATTGCCATGAACATCATCAGCAGGCCGCGGAGGAGGTCCGGCGCCAAGGCGCGGGTTGGCGGGGGCGGAGGTGAAGCATCGTCAGCTGGCGTTGGCTGCTCTGGTAGAATGGTCGGCCGACGTCCGTTTGCTAGTGCCCGGAGGGAATCGGTGGCCTTTGGAGCTGCTGTTGACGGCGGCTGAGAGGTGCCGTAAGTGTAGCCGTTGGACGATGTGCTCGGCTCGAGCGTGTTGACGTTGTCGTCGTCAGACTCGGCTGCCGTCACGGACTCTTCATCGTTGGGAAGGGTGTGCAGGGACGTGTCCTCCTCATCACGATGGAAGCCTCTTACGTTGGGGTCTTTGAGGGACTCCCGCAATATTGAAGCAAGGTTGGCGTCTGTCGAAGCCATCTTGCTTGCCGGTTTATGTGGGCTTACGTCGAGAGCATTGAACAATTTTCAGGAGTCTCACAGGAGGAGGACTCAAAGCACAAGAAGGCAAAGGGTACGGTTTATGAACTGTGTCAGAGCTGTTCAACGCCTACAAGGTATGGGAGGATTAGTCAACCGGACGCAGGCTTCCGCCTGACCCGCGTCGCGAGAGGGAGAAACACACGGGCAGAGAGTCCAAGAGGGGGATCTTAGCGTGGGCAAAAAAAAGGGCGACTTCTATTCTGGTGGAACGTCCCGTCGCAGTTGATGACGTGCACCAATTGCAGTTGGGAGAAATCTGGAACTGGCGGAGCGGAGGACGCGGGCGGCGGCTCCGGCACGAAACAAAGACAAGTGGACATTAGGCTTTGTTTTGAGTTCTTTTATCCATCTTGAGAGTCTCTTTCAGGTTCCCCTGCGTCAGGCACTGCATCAAGCAGCATGCCAGTCTTTGGCTGTAGTCAAGTGATGCCATATTGCCCAACTCAAGTTGCTTCAAGACTGAGAGAGCATCTGAATAGGCAAGCGAACAGAACCAAAGACCTTCAATTTGCCCCTCGGTGACTTTTGCAGCTGAGCAATGTGAGGCGGGCCAACTTCAGCTCCGAGCGGCTCAGCCGTCTGAACTTTCCACGCGACATGTCCGCCGCTAGACACCCACCTAGATCCTCAAACTCCGCATACTTCACCAGCGTCGCCTTGGTTGCTGATTTCCATGTTGTTACCGTCCTTTTCTCTCAATAAGGATGAGCACTAAAAGATGTATTCCAAAACCTTCGTCGCTGGGCTTGGGGGCTCTTCTGAGGCGGTGTCGCAGTAGGCCGTTTGTCCCGGTTCACTGGTTAGACTTCCCGCTGACCGCCTCAACCGTGTGGACCTGTACCTGACATGGGCCTGAGAACATGTGGCACCGCATAACGGGCTCTCTGGGCGTGACATGCCAGCGAAACGCTGCATTTGGGGACCTGCCGCAACTCCAGAGTATGGGTTTGACCCGCAAGATCTTTTGATAAGCAGGAATCCGCAAGCCTCTCACAGGTGGCTGGGCTCTGCGTGCAGAGCAGTCGGTTGATCTGATTCTGCGCTGCTGTAGTGTAAAATCAACTCCTCTTTCTCACGTCAGCATGGGCGCCACTAGCAGAATGAAGCTTTGGTGGCGTCAGTGGCTCGTTCCAACAAATTTCGAGCAGCCACAGCAGCTTGGTGGCTGAACACTGTCGAGGTGACGTGGGTTCAATGTGTGGTTCAGTTGAGTGACTCAGCATGGCTCTCTCGATCTGCCAGCCCAGTTCACGAGTCCCTCGGTAAGTCCAAGTTCGATCAGCCGGTTTCCCTGCTCAATAAGCCCTTTTGACTCCGCATTTGGGACATCTCGACGATGTCGCGGTCTCGGATCAATAGGAGTATCCAGAGAACGGCCATAGCCGTTGAGGTCAGCGGACTTGATCGGAGACATGTTCCGACCCAAGTTTCCCGGCCGTCTTCCGATCTGAGAATCCAAAGCCCATCGCGGATGAAGCCACCCGTCCCAATTGAGCATCTTTAAACGTCTCTATTGGCGAAGATATCTGTAGCAGCTTCTTAGCCTGCAAGTCGCCATTGCTATCCGCCATCCCCTCATGGCTCGTAAAATGCGGAGGGATTCTGGAGACCCCATCCGTGTACCTTTGCCGTTCCGAGTTCCGACCTCCGTTGCGCCCCCACCTCCAATTCATCCGCGGGGCATCGTCGCGGGGCATTAAATGAACCCCCAGACCATGATTAGTTGATGTCAAGGAGAAAGCTGGGACGAGAGCAATTGGTTGAGACGATATTCTTATTCAAAATGTCAGACAAGACAGATATCGAAGCTATACTCAAGACTTTAACCCTTGAGGAAAAGGTGAGGTTCCTTGTACCCTCAGTAACATCATATTGCTGACCCTTCCTTGTTAGATTCGCCTCCTCGCTGGCCGTAACTTTGTCGAAACCGGCGATGTCCCCGAAAAGGGAGTACCAGCAATCAAGGTAAACTCAGCTCCAGGGAGTAGACATGGGAAGAGCCCAGACTAAAATCTTGATTTACAGACAACAGATGGTCCCAACGGCACCCGCGGCGCCGCAATAGACGGCAGTACAAAAGCAGCATGCTTTCCCGCCGCCTGCAGCATAGCAGCGACCTTTGACCGGCGCATAGCCCGCTCCGTCGGTGCCGCCCTCGCCCAGGAATCCAAAGCAAAGGGAGCGCGTTGTCTTCTAGCTCCAACAGTCTGCATCCACCGCCACCCACTAGGAGGGCGCAACTTCGAGAGCTATAGCGAGGACCCCTTCCTTGCAGGCAAACTCGCTTCAGAGATGATTCAGGGGTGCCAGAGCCTAGGCGTGAGCGCGACAATCAAGCATTTCGTCGCCAATGAGCAGGAGACTGCGAGGACGACGGTGGACGAGACGATTAGTGAGCGGGCGTTGAGAGAGATCTACCTCAAGCCGTTTGAGATTGCAGTGAAGGAGGCAAAGCCTTGGGCAATCATGTCTGCTTACAATCTCATCAACGGGAAGCACTGCGATTCGAATGAGTGGCTGCTTAAGGAAGTGCTTCGAGGGGAGTGGGGATGGAAGGGTCTGGTTATGAGCGACTGGGGCGGAACTAACTCCGTAGCAGAGGGAATCAAGGCCGGCATGGATATTGAGATGCCTGGGCCCCCGAGGATACGCAAGCCCGCGGCTGTCCTCGAGGCCGTGAAGAACGGCGAGGTAACCGAGACCGATATCGACGAGCGCGTACGTACGATCCTCGAGTGGACGGAACAGCTCAACGGCTTTAAAGACCCGACCATCACCGTGGAAAAGGCTATTGATCGCCCCGAACACCGTGCCTTGATCCGGGATGCTGGCGCGCGGGGCATCGTCCTCCTCAAGAACGACAGCAATATTCTCCCGCTCACGAAGGAAAAGGTAAAAGGCAAGAAGATTGCCCTCATCGGCTACGCCAAAGATGGTCTCGCCCACGGCGGCGGCAGCGCAAGCGTAAATGCACACTACAGACTCCCGCCCTGGGATGCCTTCCACGAGGCCCTGGGCTCCGACGTGGAGTTCACATACGCAAAGGGTGCCCACAAGGAGCGTCTTCTCCCGCCCATCACCCACGATGGCAGGGTCGGCACGATCGTCGGTCTGGACGGACAACCTGGCTTCAGCCGGGTATTCTACGACTTCGGCAAAGAGGATGCCAAGCCCGTCTCGGTCTTAAACAGCTACACAAACTCGGCTTACTCCCCGCTAGGCTCCCAGGAGTCAATGTGGAAGACACTTGACATCGTTGGAGATTTCACGCCTTCCGAGACGGGATCGCACTACATCGCCTGCTCAGGCATAGGCCCGACTCAAGTCTTCGTAGACGATGAGGTCGTCTTTGAGCAAAAGGGAAACTGTGCAGATCCTATGGGCGCCCTATTCCAAGCCGCCAACGAGCCGCAGACAAAACATGCCTTCACGGCAGGCAAAACCTACCGACTCCGGATCCACAGCAAACCGCCGACCAAGATCGGTCTTGAGATCCTCGAAGGCCGCACAGGTGTGCGAATGGGTTTCGGTCTGGAATCAGACCGCGATGCGGACCTTCAGGGCGAAGCTGCGCGGGTGGCTGCCGAAGCAGACCTTGCTATCGTATTCACCGGACATGATCCGCAGTGGGAGACAGAAGGCCGCGATCAGGAATCGTTCCACCTGCCCTACGATCAGGATGGGCTTATCGACGTCGTAGCAAAGGCTAGCGGCGGCAAGACGATCGTGGTCAACTCTACCGGCGTGGCTGTTGCGATGCCCTGGCTTCACAAGGTGTCTGCTCTGGCGCAGTCGTGGTTCCCAGGCCAGGAGTGCGGCAATGCCATTGCTGATGTGCTCACCGGTGCCGTAAACCCCGAGGGCAAATTACCCGTCAGTTTTCCCGCCCGCGTTGAGGATGCTCCCGCACACGGAAACTTCCCTGGCAAGAGAGGTGGTGATGGAGTACTCAAGGTCGAGTATGCTGAGGGCGTATTCGTTGGATACAGGCACTACGACCGTGTGGCAAAGGAGGTCCTGAACTTCCCCTTTGGATACGGTCTCTCGTACACAATCTTCGAGTACATAGGCTTCCAAGTGATGAAGAGCAACTCTGCCAGAACTGAGCTTGACGTCTCGGTGGAGGTATCCAACACGGGTGCCGTCCCCGGCGGGGCTGTGGTACAGATATACGCCGGGCGGACGGAGAGGTCGGCGGACACGCCGGTCAAGGTGCTCGCGGCGTTTGACAAGGTCCGGCTGCAGCCCGGAGAGAAGGCTACGGTCAAGTTGGCGATCTCCGCAAAGGATTTTGCTTCATTTGATGAGTCGGCGAGGGAGTGGGTTCTCGAGGCTGGAGAATACAGTTTCTACCTTGGCGAGTCTGCGGCAAAGACCTTGCAGACTATATCACTCAAATTGGAGAGAACCACTTACCACAGATAGTGATAATGAGGGAATCGAAAGAGTTGTTCAATTTAATTGACGTAGACCTGGAACTTGTCTATCCGGAAGGATGGAAACGACGCTTTATTTCATGTGGATTGAGTCAGGCGAGTACTTTAGACATGATTATGGGCTTCTATCCGATCGAGTGCTGCAAGGCGACAGTACATTGATCTCTAGCTTTTCTCCACATCTACCTAGAAATGAGATTCTTAATTCGCGGAGATAATAGGAATAAATCAATCATATCGTTTCATCTGCTATTCCCTCCGCACTTGTATGTATTGTCGCCTTGCAGCACTCAATGGGATATATTACATGTGGAATAAACTTCGGAATCTCATCAGATGGCATCTCAGCGCGTTTTCTCCGCCTGACAATATGCAAGGACCTCATCATTTGATCTCTCCAATCCTTTTTGTTTCTGAGCATCTTTTTAGCATTGACTTTTTGGCCGGGTGTTCATGATTCACCTGGCGTGATCCGTCCAGTCCCTGCGGCCGTTGAAGGATCCGTCGCCAATACAAGTCATCCACTTCACGTGTTGGTTCATGCGATGCGCCGCAACGTTTGCCCAGGCCTGGTGTTCGAGGTCACTATGGCTAAGCCGGCATGCCATAAGTGTCTCTTCTTCTTCAATGTCTTCGTCTTCCTTGTTCTCATCCTCCTCCTGTTCCTTCTCGAAGAGAACAACCAATTGACCGAGGCCATTCAAACGTAGCTTGGGTGGCTTGAAGTCTGGGAACTCGCTCGCCGGCGGGCACTTGCTTCCTCCGACACGATACCAGATACGCGCAAGCTCTGTCGCATACGCTGCATCCATGCGGGAAATCGGATCGCCATCGTTGGCGAAGGCGAGCATGTTACCTAGAAGGAAGTTGCTACTGGTATAGAGTTTGGCGAGGCGAGAGTCAATGTCGGTGTTGAACAACGGAGGACAACCAAAAGTTACGCAAGAGAGCGTCACTTTTCTCGAAGACAGGTCTGTGCCATGCTGTTAGTCTGGTACGCTGTTCCAGTATTTCGGGCGTGGTCAAACCACGACCTGTTCATGCTTCAGCCCTTACTTAGAATCTGACGGGTAAGAACATAGCAGAACAGGAGGCATGCAACGGCTCCCCCAGCAGAATGGCCGGTGAAAACAATTTCGATCTCCTGGTCCTGCGTTTGGTTCTCGTCTAGGGCAGTTTTTATCTGATCCACCAGACCTGGAGCGATAGTTCTAGCACATTTGGCGAACCCGCGATGCACTTTCGGCGTTGGTTTCAAACGTGACTCGGGGATTGTCTAGAAAGTCGAAGTCAGTTCCAAAAATCGAGCTCGTACAATAAGCCAGCGGTTGTAATTCCTGGTTGGTAGCTTGAGGTAGTAATTCGCTGTACTCACCACCAAGTCAGGACATTCAACTAGGTCGCTATTCAAGTTGACCAGCCAGTCGATAGAACTTGAACTCCCTCTAATAGCAATGACTAGTGCCTTGCACCGGGATGACGGATCAGTCGGTACGATCTCAAACAGAGCAGCGGCCTTTCCCGAGCCGTTTCTGGTGGGCTCTATCCAATGCCTGTCTTTGATGGTATATCCCAGGATCTGGGGAACAACCTGGCCCGGTTCCTTCCCGTAGACGGCTTTTGAACAGAGGGCAGCAATTTGAATGATACGGGCAGTGTCTTCCGTGCTGGTATGGTGTAGATGATCGTCAGAACAAAAAAAACACCAATATTGTCTCGCAAGATTCGAGGCGCCGCTTCTCGGCAAACACACACCTTGTCCACTCTACTGCAGGTAATTTCACGGATTCTTGGCCCCTAGAGACTATGTCGCGCAAGTTTATTGCACGTTGTGCCCTTACTTTCTTATTCTGCGATTCCCTCACAAGCCCTGGCCGAAGCAGACACAATCAGCATCACACCAGCCGCTGAAGATGGGCCCTCTGTCAATCTTACCTAAAAGATCTGAATCGCTAAAGTCTTCGATCTCGTTGAGCATCGTAGCTACTGCTGCCGAAGCACCAGCCAGAGTCATAGAGTCCATAGACCCAGCCAACTTCCCTCTCGCCTAATTTTTCTTGGCATCTGCTGTTAGTGAATGAGTGAGCCTACCACCAAATTACTAACAGCCGAAAACTCTTCACCTCCCCTTGCCGGAGCCCGCATCCGCGATGGCCTCACAGCCGCCGTCGGGCACCGGACTGATGTCGGCCGACCAAGCCGACCCCGAACC